TTCCATCCTTCTGAGGTGGGTAAAATGAGGACCCGGATTGTTGTTGGGGGCAATATGCTGACTCTGTAAACCGCTTAGAGAGGGCTGAAAGCCCTATAAAGCGGTATATAAGTCTAACTGCTATTGCTATTGTATTCACAAATATTCCTTTGAAAGACTCTTGGACCAGACCTCTGCTGAATGTGAATGAGGGGTTTTGTCGGGAACCAGGAATCTGCTTCGTACTTTTTGGGGAAGCCTAGGTCAGAACACCCAGGCCAGAACAAACCTTCATATCATTGATGTGTAGGTATTCCTCAGTGATGGCCTTGGCTTTCTTCTCCAGCTCTTCCTCGGATAAGGCAGGTTTGGCGGGCGGTTCGGGAACAGCCACTGGCTCACGCTTGACTGCTGGGAGGGTGAGAATGTGAGAAAAGCAGAGAAAGGGAATGGCTGCAATTAGATTGCCGCTGGTCACTGTGTCGGCCAATCGTTCCTGAGTCGTGGCGGTTCTATCCGGCGGACCGGGGGAAACCAGCATACGCACCCGCAGCCAAACAATCACAAGTAACCCTTAGTAATTCATAATTAAGACATTACAGAGGGAAAAAAACTGTAAATAAATACACTAATTCAAATAATGTTTGCTTAGAAAAATTATTTACATCTTTCCAAGGCTGGACTGAGTTAAAAAACTGGGTTCTACCAGCTAGAGGGGGCGCGGCCAAGACTTTTTAAACTCAGTCTCAAGGCTATTGGACGAAACCCATGCTTGGATTCTCTAAGCGGCGCACAGGAGAAATATTGGAGTAGGATTCATATCACAATGCCGACGATTCTGTAGGATTCTGTAGGGCCTGGGTGGTGGCAGTGGTTAGATTGCAGGCTAATTCTGCCGACTGCCAGCAATTCGATCCTGACCAGTTCAAGGTTGACTCAGCCTTCCAACCTTCCGAGATGGATACAGTGAAATCTCCGATCGTTGGAAGCAATAGGCTGGCCCTGCAAACTGCTTAAAGGGGGCTGTGAAGCGGTGTATAAGTCTAAGTGCTACTGCTATTCTCAAGGTGAGTATGAAGATAATACCAGAGATTTTTTTTCTTTTGGGTTTAATGGATAATGACTTTGAAAGAAAATGTGGGACTTTGAGGCTATATATGTTGACGGCAGCAAGATAATTGTATGCACACAAATGGAAGGACACTTTGATTCCCACAGTGGGCGAACAGCTGCAAAAGTTGATGGAGCTATCAGAGATGGTTAAATGACCACTTTGATTAAAGGAAACAATTAATTTGGAAACCGCTTTTGGATTTTGTGCTTCAGAGGGGGAAGAAATGAAACTCTTGATTTCGGGTTTGCTGATTTGATAGGGTAGTATAACATATTATTATATAAAAATAAAAAGTTGAGCTTTTATGCTATTAACTTATTCTACTGCGCCAAAAGGAGTCAGAAGTTAATGCCTTCTTTCCCCCTGCTCTCTGACCTACACTTTTTGATAAACTAATACCATTTTGAAATGGAAAAAGGAAGACAAGAGAAAGAGAAGTCAGAGGTCCTTCTGGGCTGGAATTGGGATGGGAGGGAAAGAGGAGGGAAGGAGAGGGAAGGGGGAAAGATAGAGGGAGAGGGGTGGAGAGGGAGGGGAGTGGAAAGGGAGAGGGGGGAGAGGGGAGAGGGAGGGGAGAGAGAGAGAAAGGGAGAGGGGGGAGAGAGAAGGGAAGAAGAGGGGGGAAAGAGAGGGAGAGGGGTGGAAAGGGAGAGAGGGGGGAGGGAGGGGAGAGAGAGAAAGGGAGAGGGGGAGAGAGAAGGGAAGAAGAGCGGGGAAAGATAGAGGGAGAGGGGTGGAAAGGGAGAGAGAGGAAAAGGGAGGGAGAGAGAGGGAAGGAGGGAGAGAGGGAGATCCTGTTTCACTTCCTGTTTGCACCCCCACTGCTACTGCTACCCCCCACTCACCAGGTTCCCTGCTTCGGTCCCGCTCTTCCGTCATGCTAGCCACTTTGCGCACCGTTTCAAGGACTCCTTGCCGTTCGCGCTCCCGGCTCCGGTCCTCCATTTCTTTGCTGAAGCTGCGCTTGGTGACCGGGGTTCGGTTTCTCTCCACCCGCTCTACCCTCTCGGTTCGCTCCACGCGGTCGCCTCGCTCCGCCCGCTCTACTCTCTCGCTTCGCTCGCTGCCTTTCTCAGAGCGGTCGCGGCTGCTGCTGCTTCTGCAAACAGAGCAAATACAGTTCCTTGTCAGAGTTTGTAGCGGAAATCAAATCCAGAAAGCACACACAGGTAACTGATTCGGCAGGATTCATTAACTCCTTTATATACATAATAACACATGAATAAATGTACAATACCAACAACAGATTCTTCCAACGTAGGAGAGAGGAGAAATTCATTTCCAGTTTCAATTCAGAGAGCAGGCTAGATTAGTTCTCTTGCACAGACTCAGAGGTACATAGGTAAGCCACGCCCATGCTCCGAGCCGTCTGCCATGGCTCTCAGTCATCAAATAGTTCCCATTGGCTGACCCAGTTGCCATGCCTATACATTGGCTGACCTTGTTACCATGCCCTATTCCAGCCAGTCCCCAATGGCTGATCTGTTGCTGTGGCCTATTCCAGTTCATGAATATTCTGACATCCCTCCCTTAGGTGAGAGCACCCATTCCAGCCCCTTGTGGAAGAACCCAGAACTCTCTCCAACGGAGGAAAAGGGTGCCCTCATAAGGATCACCCATCACTTAATGCCCCCATTGCATTAAGTGGTACAACGGAAGAGTTAAATAAAACTCCAAGGCAATCCCAAATCAGGAACAAAGATATCATCATTTCCCAAGTATTTAAAAAGGTTAAATCATGATTAACTAGACCAAGGTTTATTAAACTGAGGTGTTTTTCTGCTCATCCAATTAACAAAATGAAACATTTTAGTTAGGCAGGGAGTCATTGGAATGTACCAACTTGCCATACTGATTATAGGGTTTCTTCCCAAAATGAAATGCAATATGTAAATGAAGACTCAATTGTCCAGGCCAAAACTACCCCAAAAGGTGTAATCATGGCAAATGGAATGACGTTTATTAAACTGAGACATTTCATTACTCATCCAGGTGACCTCATCAGTCAAAATGAAGTTATGTTATATGTGATATCATACAAACACTGTATTTTTCGGAGTATAAGACGCACCTTTTTCCCACAAAAAAAGAGGGTGAAAATCTGGGTGTGTCTTATACAAGGAATACAGCATTTTTGGCCTCCTGAAACCCCGCCCCCTTTGCAAAAATGGTCATTCATAGCTTTTAGGCGGCTTCCAGAGTGCTCCTGGGGGCTGGGGAAGGCAAAAATGAGCAAAAAAGGGCCATTTGGGGGAGGTCTGCAGAGTGCAAAAACTTTTTTTTAAATTTGCCTCTTCAAAATCTTGCTGCGTCTTATACTCC